CTTGGAAAGCTACAGAGATGCACTGAAATGTCAGAAGGAAATACGCATTTGATAACGAATTAGCGTAGATCACAAATTTAAGTTATAATTGGCCTTTATAAAGAGTTGTTACACAAACTTTGATCACGTAGGCTTTCCTCAATAACATCAAGCAGCTTACATTAGCAATATGATGTGACGATGCACGAGGTTATAAGGATCGCACACACAAGGGATATAAGTGGAAAAAAGCAAAGAAAAACAAAGTTCGAAAGAATTCAGAAGAGATTCATGAGAAGTTTTTTTATGAATTATGGAAATGAAAAGACTTCGGAAATGTCCCATAAATCATAAACATACCTGCTTGGAAGTAGGGAAATCATAAACATACCTGCTGGGAAGTAGGGCTCAGAATACCAAACATTCGGATGGTAGCTGTGTTTGGTTGAAATCAGCATGGTTGGCTTACATTCCATAATGCAACAGGGAGTTGGTGATTTTCGAAAATACGAGCCCTTCGCGGAGCACTCGTCCGCAGTCATCGCAACGCATGCGCGCGCATCCTAGTTCTAGATTACTGTAGGGAAAGGCGGGTTCAGAAGGGCCGTCTCCCGCTCAATACTAACATTTGTTGCAGTGGTGGTATACTGTAGAGCTACGATAACCGTTTTGGTAGCCGCCTAATCTCAACGAATCTTTCAAGTTTCTGCTTAGATAAGTTACTCAGTGCGCTGATTACATGCCGGATCCGGGTAAGCCAACTATATTATGTGCAAAATGATGCAAGAGGTTTCATTCTGATGTTATTGCAACTAACGTCTAATGTTAACGCGCAAGTTTTTTCTTCTCTATCTTGCTAAGAGTCATCTATTATTGCTTTATGGGTAGAGTAGACCAGTAATTGTAAGTACCAACGCTCATTGCGCTGTATTATTTGTGATCTTTGTGTGATAACGACAAAATCAATCCATAGCAGCTGCTCTTTGTATAACGCCTTTTTATAGCATCTGCACTTTGTTCAGACTGCGATATTTCGAATGATCAGCAAAATCTTTTAGATTAGAAAGTTAGTTAGGGGCTATCGCCTATTGAGACTTCCGAAGATGAATAGTCCCGTACCATTCTATTTACACATGAACACCCATTAAACTTGGCTGCTTTCGGCAATGTGAAGAAAGAAATGATAATAAATCTGCATTTTCGTCGGGAAGGTTGAAAAATGCAATGCTCTCTTACCTTTGAGCAAATAAGACATATCCCATAAAAAATAACTGCGCCAAACCAAACAGTGTATTTCGAAGTCTTTGTGCTAGCTAAATAGAAGGTTTGAACCTGTACGGACATTTCTAAACCGAAGGTCAAGAAGAGTCTTTTTTGATAAAAGACTCAATCTTCTGCCGGAATGCAAAGTTTGACATGTAGCAAACATTTTATGCTTCAGCACTGCGGCTCTACTCGAGATCTTAAATGGCTGAAGTTGCTGCCTGTTTTGTAGAAAGCTTAAGCGAAAAAGTCTTTGCTATTGGTGGTCGTTTATGTAAACACCAAAGTTGAACTTCGGCTCAAATTTGTTTTGTTGAAACGCACTTTGTATTAGCAAAAATCTGGCTGCCCTTTGATTACGTTTTCAAGTGAAATTACTAGCGATCATTTGCACACTTGTTGCTAGGCCGGTCCAAAAGTTCGTTCGCATTATGCTTGAATGATTGACTTTTTTCTGAATGGCAATGGTTGCGCTCATTAATTTTTTTAGGAAGGGAAATTCAAGCACTTGTCAAAAACATGTCGACAATCTTTGAAAAGCAGTTGCGGAAAAAAATTGAAAGGAAACGACTACTTGTACTTTGACAATGCTGATCAAATTCCAAAAATCGTTACTATGAAATCAAGCAATCTATAAGTTTTAGTCTGATAAATGAGCATAGTACTGATGAACTCTCTTGGGCAGCCATGCAAAGACAATGAAAAAAAGTTTCCTGTTTGTAAAGTCTCCTCGAAAATCACAAATTTCAATAGAAATACGCAGTCAATTGCCAATTCAAAAAAGGGGGTGAAAAAATTCGTGTTATAAAATGTTTAACATTCACTGAGACTTGTTTTCGGATTTCGGCGAGCTTGCTCAAAATCACTGAAGCATGGGTGATTTTCCTCTTTCTGTTTCTTCTTTGCTGTGTCATTGCTGAAAACCGTCAAGAATTCACCAGAAAATGCTGAGTCACCTCCAATTACTAATTAAAGATGTCAAGCGAAACACTAAAATAGAAAGCGGTTACGGTTTTTTAGAAAGTAGAACGAACTTTTGAGCCAACCTGCACCACTTGATCAAATATTGAAGTGTTTTCATAGGCGCCGTTAATTCCCTTTAACATCTAGAATTGTCATAATCAATTCCTTTATTAAAAAAAATAAGATAATCGAATTTTCAACTGTCTTTTAGTCCAGATTCGAACTCGTTATCTTTAGACCGTTTACACTGATAGCAGAAGCACCTTGATCGCTTGTATCTTTTGGCGATTTTCACTTTTCGTTTGTAGCGTGATTTAAGCGGTTACTTACGTACGAATCCCGCTATTTATACAACATCAAAACCTTCACTCCAATTTCGGTGGACGATGTGCTCATGTCTTAGCGCGCGCGACTTTCGCATGCGACGAGTGTCCTAATTCGCTCATCGTAAGCGCACTTTGCCAAACAAGACTTGATGTATCTTCAATTTCAATAAAATTATGCATATTATGTGTCTAATACTTCGAGAAATTAATCTGGAAATTTTGGCTGGTCGGTGGAAATTTCATTACCGCACGGTGGATTTGCAGGTTGTGCCTTGGGTTCTGGTCATACTTCACGCGATTTGGCAGTACAACTGTCCATGACTCAAGAAGCGCATACTAAGATACATTTTTCTAAAGGAGGTAGGATATCTCATTTATCTACCATAGCTTTACACAATATGCGTTTTTACCTTGCCACTGTTGGATTTGAAGACTTCTGGCAATTTGAAAGATTGCTTGGCGAGAAACCGCGTAGCATTTTCAGGGCCTTATGCCTCAAAGGAATTATTGAACAGTTTCACAAGTACGTAACGTTTTCAGTCTCGCGTTCATTTCTCTGGTAGGAGTTTTGATTTGCGGCAAGGCGTGCATATCGTTCAAAAGAACCAATCAGGCTTTTTTACTCACAATCTTCGAATTCTCAGCATCCAAATGTGGAATTTACAAAGGACAACAACAAACAAGAACAAACACATTCGGCATTTGCGCATGTTTTCTTACAAAAAACTGGTTTTGCATAGATTTTTTGCCGATTATAAAAAATGGCGCTTTCGCGTCAGACAAAAAAGGTTGCTCCAAAGACTAAGGACTCACAAAGCGTCCTCTAAACAAGACTTTTTGCAGACATGCAGGAAGTTCTGCACTATAAATTGCTAGACAAGAATGAAACGGTCGGTAATGACGTACGCAACTCAACTGGATATCCAAACGAATCCTACTGCGAAGGTGACTCAAAAGACAGATTTAGTGAGCTTTTCTATGTGATAAAATATGGCTCTCAAACTTCAAAACTGTCTTGAAAGACTTGACGGGAGCATCCGATGTATTCCTTTCCGACCTCACCTCACCAGGTAATCATTGTGCCACTCTTTTGCAAACGGTATGAACAGTGCTTGTTCCGACTTTGAAAAGCGATTTTAGATGCTGCTTGAACGACCTTTTTGGGACTAGACAACTGCTGATTTTTGAAAAAATGGAGTTGAAAAATTGACAGCAAGGTGGCAGAAAGTTGTGTGCAACGACGGAAAATACACTACCAACTGAATTTTGACAAGATTTGGTCATCTCGTTGGTTTACGCTTACTACGAACTTACGAAACGACCTAATGTCGAAACAATCAAGATGCGTAGCAACTTGCATTATTCCGATGCACACTATGACACCAACACTTCTTTCACTCCACTTCACCCTGCTGCAGAAATGGAATCTAGACTAGATAACAATTAATGGGAGCAGCATGCCTTCATGGACTTGAGTTCATTCAGGCGTGTTAGAAATTCGAATTTTTTCCAGCTAGTAATGGATTACCGATTATCTGTTGTTGCTATTGTTTTAACAAAGGAAGGAATACCACCTTGCACTGGCGAACCGAAATAATATGCATATCAGTAAATGCGTTTTGAAGAGCTGATTCCAAATTTAATTTCTGTATCTGCTGAGCTCTTCTCTGAAAAAGTTATGAGCATTTGAATGTCCGAATTTAGCAAACATTTGCTGCCACATCTTTATAAACTACTTGTTTGAAAATAATTACTTGCGTATTCGGTGCATGTGTAGATTACTTGTAGTGAATGCACTCAAAAACGTGCTAATTAATCGCTCACAAGCTGGTTTTCAAAGCACTTATGCTTCAAAACCGCTATAACTTCATGTTTGAAGGCAGTGTCCCGGCAGATTTCACTCATCCATATTTTGCATCATTATGGGACTTTCTCACCCCCTGAATACGATTTCATGCGAAAAACTGCTCAAATCAATCGAAATGTCGAGTTTTCGCACTTTTGTTTTCTTAGAAAGGACGAGTGATGGCAAGCGCGCTGAGAGACGCAGACGGCAGAAAAAAGGCGTTGCAAGGAATGTCGTATGTCAAAACGCGGCAGCGTAGTTTCTATTTCTTTTTCTTTGCATATTAAGTGTCGGCCATGATTCCTTGTATTTGTCTACTCCATACGTGTTTATGCTCTTATGCAGTTGCAGGAGGAGATTTACGCGATTCCTTCTCCGTTGTTACTACAAAATATGAAAGCATACTGAATTTTACTGATAAGCTGAAGAGGCAGAGTATTTTTGTCAGTAAGTAATTTTAGTTTTTTTTACCATTCGACTTTTAGTTTCCTTTTCTACTTTTATTCTCCTTTTCTTATTTTTTGCTTTATTTTGATGCATATTCTTTTTAATTGGCGGTGTAAGCGGCAGCACCTTCTACAATTTATTGTATGGCATCGTCTGACTTCGTGATAAACCCGACATCATGTTACATCCATTTCTTCTTCCTGACACTGCTCAAGCGGAAAGCGCCTCGTCAGAAAATCCATGTAAATCTCTTTCCTCCATAGTTGTGAGACTGGCGTTTTCTGAGGTTGAACTCTCGCCCTTCTAGTAAACTTCCGATGGACAATTTCGACACGCCGTACTAAGCGTTCTCCGCTCATCTCCGCCTCCCGTAGAGCATTCATATGCATAGTTGACATCTTTATATATAGGGGGTAGGTGGGAAATTGCCTGAAAATTTTTCTATCATCTATTTTGTGGTAGCTATCTCCAGTTTGGAATCCCTCACTCACAGAAACAATTCTTTTCGACAGTACAAACGGTCCAGTGAGTTTTTGCTCTTGCACAGACTAGTCCCACTGTAAGGACTAGCCTGTGCGAGAGCTTCCTGAAACGCTGGCTGCAAAACTATTTGCTTCAACTTCGTGTGAGCCACACTTCCGACGTCAAGCGTCGGCTTCTCTCTCTCTTCATCCGCTATCTCCGGATCATGAAGGCAGCTTGTGAGGGTCCCAGTAATGTCATCCTGTAAGCTTTTTGGGCAGTGTCATGAATTAGAATTTCTACCTTGTCAAATTCATGCACGTTGGCGACATGGTGCAGACACGTATTGAAAACATGACGAATGAGCTCGCCAATGTGGGATGCTGCTCCTTCCGCTATAGAATAGTATAGATGGGTTTCAATGTCTTCAACCCAGTCTTTGATCGACGCACAATCTTTCGCTTTTGCGGCCTTAATTTGCAATCATATGGTGCAGTAGGACAGATTTTAAGCTGATATATACCGCGCGTAGGTTCTTATGCAGGTATCTTCCGAGGTGCCATGGGTCAAAGAACCATTTGACACTTTCGCCAAATTCATCATTGAAAGAGGCTATCTCGCTTCCGTACATGCTGCTACGGTCGGTTGCGATCGAATGAATCGGGGTATCATTCGATCGCAACCACCGTAGCATGCGGCGGAAGCCTTCCTTCTCCATTCTTCCGCTTATGTTTGCTGTGAAGAAATAAATTTGAGTACTCGTACGTTTGAGATCCTCTTCCTAACCTGTTTCCCAGCAATGAACAACCTCTGTGTGTATGCAGAGGTTTGTCCGAAGGACGACAGCCAAAACCCTGCATATCTTGGTAGTAAATCCGCGTGAATCGAATGCGCCGTCGACGGCGATATTCCATGAAATAGGTACCCCATTGTCCTAAATTCGTTTTCGGCTGTTGATTCGCAGTTCTCAGATATTTTTATACCTCATACGCCGCGCGGATTTTTTGGACGACGTTTTCCTAATGTTTCTCATAGACTATGTCCACGGAAATAGCCAACTCATCAAAAATGCGATAAAATGCCGTTTTCGAAGGTACCAATACGTTTCCTCTTCTGCCCATTTCTGAATTTTCTGAAATACATCTGTTTGTGTATAATCAGTGTCAGTGTCAAGTGAGTTGTAAGCATTACATTCATTCGCGCTCCGGTTGTGAGTTGGTTGGCCAAGTTCTACCGTTACAACTGTAGTTTAATTCTCAGAAAAAAAATTGATCTTTCCATGGCTTTCAAGAGGCTAACAGGGAAATGCAAAATGGATTTTTCAAAATTTTTCAGCGTTTACAACTCTAAATCTAGAGGAGTTTCACTAAAACTAAGAGCTCCCAAAACAAAGTCGCTTTTCAGGTCCCATTTTTTCACTGTGAGGATAAATTCCGATTTCAACAGGCGACAAGGATGCTTTCCAAATGAAATAGGCCAAATTTTTTGCTACAAATAGTCCTTTTTCCTAATCATGAAAGCATTTCATTGTTTTGTGATCTGATTGTTACTATATGTATATCCTTTGCTGATGTCTTTTTAGTGCTTCGATACTACAGATTTTACCATAAAATTTTCCTTTTACTATTTCTATTCACGTATTTTTGCAGGTATCAATAAATAAATAAATTTCATAACACTGAAACTTTAGATGAACCACTGCTTGCGAGCTAGAGATTAACAAAAAATTTACAATCGTCAGATTCCATTTTTTCTGTCAAAAACATGCTTAACGGTGCCGTAGTATATCATCAGTACAATTTTGCAGCGTTTTCATTGATTTCTCAGCAAGACAAAACACTTTGAGGGCCTCATGCATTAACATCAGGGCCCGGGCACGAGGTGGGCAATGGGGTTTTCCACTGATTCCAAAAATTTTTTTACTAATACTCCCCTTGAGCCTAAACGATGCTTTGTGCTTGTGCAACGAGAGCAATTGTCACACTTCGCCTGAAAGTGCTTAAAAGCGCCCAAAAATCTTCTAAATATCCCTCACTTTTATCAAGATAGAAAACAGGAAGAAGAATAAGCAAAAAAAAACAATGAAGGAATGAAGAAATTGGAGCGCGCTTTCCTTTTTAGAAAGCTGGGCTACTGATGCGACGGGGTCTAACAAAGAGAAGAGGAGGAGTTTCGGAACCAAAATCCTACCATATAGTAAACTTTAGGTGTACATCATATTTACGTGAAAATTTTGAAAAACTTATGTGAACTGAAACTTTTGCCTACTTCAGGTGGGCATTAGGTGGGCAATTGCCCACCTAATTTCCACACTCTTCATTCACATAAGTTTTCCATAAACTTTCATCTTTTGTTTAGTCCTACTGCGCGTGTACACACCAAATCTCGCGCAATTTCGTCGTCTGCGCTTTGCAAACGAGCCATTTTCCACTTTTTAGTAGTGGGAAATTTTCAGAAAAAGCTTGCTTTAATCTTCAGTCACACAATTTTTCAATGAATTTTTCAATGAACCCCTGCTGGACCGTGTCCACGTAACTACCAAGTTTCATGCCTTATCGTTGCCTGTACTTCGCAAACGAGCCATTTGAATTCATAACTGCATTCACCAGTTATGGGAAATTTTTGGAAAAAATTCTTATCGTTAGTACAGCTTCCATTCACGTAAGTTTTTCATATTTTTTCATACTTTATTTCCACCAGCCTCCGTTTGTTCGCTTACGAGATTTGGTACATAAATACGCATGCACAGAGAACTAGTCATGTATGTATTTTTCGAAAGGCATCGGTCAAGCGACGTCGCGCGTGCGGCAGTCAGAGGTGGCTCTACTGCGCGCCTATTAAGGCACGTATTAACATGCTAAGATAAACTGAGATTGCTGATCATGTTTTTGGTAAGAACAAGTGATGTTGCGAAGTCATGAAATTGGCGACAGATCATAAGTCCAAAGTTGGGCTTCGTCGAAAATCGATATTCCAAAAACTCATTTGCTATTAGCAACATGCTTAGTACTGATGTGTTATATGATAAATACAACTTTGGAAGGTATTCGCCGACTTTGAAAGAAGAAAAATGTCTTAAAACAAAAGACGTCTGGCCGCGGGGGATCATCAGGGGATTATACAAAAGGCCGGAAAATGCGGCTTGCACAGCTTCTTGTTCCCGTTCAAGATGTTCGTAGTGAAGGATGGTGGGAGTATTAGGTTGTCTCAAAAGCAAACCGTATTTCTAAATTAAACTGGGGGTACCTTTCAATAGAGTGAAGCAAGCTATACAAAAAGACCTCCAAAGATTCGTATATATCGTAATCCAGAAAGTTTGGAGCAAAAATCAGAAAAAAATTAATTCTCTGAAAATTGGGTCTTTGCGGAGAATAACCGTACGGAACTCAAACTTGGTCATTATACAACAGACACTCAAATATGCCTTTATTGGATTTTTTTTCAAGCTTAGAGGACGAGAAAAAAGAGATAGTCTAAAAATGGCAAACTCCGCCTCCTGCCCCTCTCACCTATGTCATTGTGTACCACAAGCCTTACTAATTTTAATCTCAGAAACCTTACCCCTGTATGTGCTCTTATAATCGAGATATACCGAGTCTTACATGAAAAACCCGAAAAAAGTGGCATTTAGGGACCATCTTTGTTTCTCAATTTTGAGTTTCGGAAAAAGTCAACCGAAGACATTTTTTGGTACTATGTGTCTACTATATAAGGACGAAGTCGGAAGTCTGTAGGAATTTTCTGGGAGGAGATCTGATTTTTAGAACAGCTAAAGAATTTCATTTTTTGGGTCCAAATTTTACCTGGATCGCGACTTACCCTAAAATCCGGCATATAAGATCGCCTCGCAGTAAAGACCGCCTCGCCGATAAGACCGCAAAAGAGCTCTCAGTTGAGTCCGCTTTCGTGACAGCCTCGCGCGCCTCGCGCGCCGCCAAGTCCCGCGGATAAGTCCGCCTTATTTTTTTCACATGAAAACAAGAAGGATGCGCAATTGCGCTGCCTTTTTTGGTCTCAGAATGAACCGAAGCAACAGATCTTTATTCAGGTAGCATTCCATGTTCATCATAACAAACATTCATGGCAACAACTTGACCAAAAGAACGACCATCATTATCGTTATTATCAGCAACAATCAAAACGTCGAAATCCTCGTTCATGCCTTCTATTATTGATTCGTCATCGAAAGCCTTGGTGAAACTGTTCGCAATGGTTTCTTCAGTAATTGCATTGAAACTCTCGTAGACTAGTGCAGCTACCTCTCCGTAGGTCATCCTTTTCCTGGCGCCGCCTGTTGTGTACCTTGCTCGTGCTGAATCGGCCATCCATCGCTCCCATCCCGCCCTCAGATTGTCTTTGAAGGGCTTGTTGATGCCGACGTCGAGAGGCTGTAGATATTTGGTCATTCCGCCTGGAATGACCGCGATCTTTGAGTGCTCCTTGAAAAGCTCTCGGACGTCTTCTGTGAGATGGCACCTTAAAAAAGCAAGATAAGCTCAGGAAATGATAAAATACGAAACGATACCTTGCAGAATCTAATATGAGTAATGACTGCGAGGGATCGTTGACATAGCATTTCCGTTTGTTCCACACCTCATGGAGCCATGTCCTCATCAGTTCGTGATTCATCCAGCCTTTATCATTGGCTCTAACTACCACTTCAGGAGGGAAATTATCCTTGGGAATCCTCTTTTTCTTGAATATGATCATCGGTCTTAATTTCTCTCCAGCGGCCGTCACAGAGAGGACAACGGTAAAATTCGATTTTTCGTGTCCTGTTGAGTCAAATCTTACAGTATCGGCTCCCACTTGATCCACGGTCCTTGAATAAACCATATCGAAGGGCACTGGGACTTCATCGACATTCCCAAGATTGTGGGGGGAGATGTGAAGCGATTCCCTTTGTACGAATCTCCTGAAGTCCGCGCAGATGTTTTCATAATCCTCCGGAAGTGCTTTGCCGACACTGGTTCTTCGCCTCAGAGATAAGTTCTTTCTCTTCATAAAGCCTTTGCACCACATCGCCGATGCCCTGAAGTCCTGGTGGCCAGATTCCCGCGCTAGCTGCAATGCCTTCTCGCGAATGTCTTTGACAACCACTGCTCGGCTTCCTTCTCGCGTCTGCACAATCCATGCATAAAGAGCTTCCTCTATTTCCTCCACCTTTGGCTTCCCATGACGGTTGGCGCGTCTCCTCAGTGGCATATCCTCCAGATTTTCTTTATCGGCCTTCCATCTTCTAACCAGACCATCAGAGACTTCGTAGCGAACAGCGGCAGCCGATGTTCCATGTTGCAGGGCATATTCCACCACGTTAAGCTTAAAAAGCGCGGTGTAGGACTTCCTTCTGGGAGCCATTGAGATCCGAGATAGAACAGCTTGAGTCACAGCGTGTGAGAGTATGTTGGAAATATAGGGTTCTGCGTGATTGCGAACTTCGCTGATTTAGCGGTCATTGCTTACTGGAATCACGCGGAGTCCTATAAATTTGTGCTGATCATCGAAAGGTTTACTCTTTTACAAGAAAAAGCAGGCGGCGTCAAATTTGACTACACTGTCTTTTGTCTTGGATGTACAGGCTTAATGAAACAACAGATGAGAAAAAGAACAAGGAAGCCTAATGCTTTGCTAAGGTTGAGCATTCTCAGGCTGTCACTCTTCCGTTCAAGAAAGCATTTGACAAAAGCCGTATGGCATGGGTCAACAGAGACTACGTTCAGAACATGAAAACAATAGAGGAAGCAAAAAGTATAGGAGTCAGGTTCAAGGGTTGTAGCCTATACGGGTTCGAGAGATGTATTAAAAACATTGTAGCTTCCAAAACGATAAGATGAATGATACGATGAGATGATTGCAATGATATAATGAGAAAACCTATTATGATTTTTCGGACAGAAAAATTCCATGTGTACAAGCACTGTCTTATATAGGAAAAGAACCCACCCGTATGTGATGACCAATCCGCGACGAAACTGTCAGCAATTAGACTGCACGACTTGTCGAATCCTTTGGCGGTCTCTTTTAGGGGAGTTCACGGCTTGATTCCAATCGCTGAAACATGTGATATCCAGAACAACTTCTCTGTAGCGTTTTGCAAAACTACGAACCGTTTGTGTCTTTGTACTTCGTCACTTACTGCTTGGAACAGAGTATGCGCGACGATCAGCGTTCTAAAAAAGCTTTGTAGGAGATGCATGTACTGTAGTTAGCCTATATCATAAACCTCCCCTGCCTAATATTGCTGAAAATGGGGTAAAATCCTACCTTACTATCGCGTCATCAATTCCAACACACAAGAAATGTTATATCTAAGAAAAGAACTCACCTATCCAGCGTATATGATGACAAATCCTCAGCGAAACTGTCAGCAACTAGTCTGCACGGCTTGTCGAATACTTTGGCTCTTCCTTTCAGGCGATTTCGCGGCCTTGTTTAAATATACACCGGCAAGCTACGCGGGCGGTCGCGCGCGTTTGTGCTCCTAGGTCGCGCTTGCTCATGCTAAGGACAGACGGACGTATCTGCGAGAGAATTTAGGCGGACTTATCTGTGAGACCTTTTGCGGCGTTTTTCCATCGATTTTCCTGCCAAAACTGCAGATAAGTCCGTTCTTATATGCCGGATTTTAGGGTAGACGGTTCTTTGATGGTCGTTTTGTTGAGCTGTTTTTGTAGAGCTTGCTTCGCTCTACCAAATGGCATCCCAGATTTGCCAGGAAAACAAAAAACAGTTTGATTTGTTATACTTACGGATAGGTAGACAGCGTGAAATTCAAAATCAGCTTCAAAATGTGAAGCTTTCTTCTGAAGCCGTGATCCCCTTCCCGCGGGGATATTAATGCATGCGGCCCTAAAAAATGATAGGTGACCCCCTGTGTATCCTCTGGAAACCCCTGAGGATTACGTAAAATGGTAAAAAAGATCTTGTATGGAAGTAACCTGGCATCCATTATGCGCAGCGCACCTACTCATGTCACAAACGAGCACAAAAATGTGGATTGAAAGCAAAAAAGTTCTTTTTTGAAGGTTTGTTGGTATAGGTGATAAGTAGCCTACTTTAGCCGCAAGTCAATAGTGCAAAAAATGGAAATGCTTGGATAAGAATACTTGTGGAAAGAAAAAAAATGACCACCTTTTTTTTTCAACATCATTCTAACTTACCTTTATAGAAATGAGCAAAGTTTGGCGATTGCTTTCTCACATAAATTCTCGGGCCACAGACCGCAACTATTACTCATGTTAAGGCGTTGATAACTCAGCTTAGATATCAAGAAATACGCTTGACACTGCATAATGTGAGCAGTTTCGCATGAAGTAGCTTATTTTTCAAATGTGCATATTCGCGCACAATTCTGGTCAGAAAAGTGAACTCGATGAAATTCTGATTTGGTGCGGTTATGTAAAGCTCTATAGCTTCTAAACAAATGAGGTTGAAGGCTTGCCTTAGGCCTAAGGCATACCTCCCGCGATCCCAGTCGCGTCGCAAACTCCAAATCGGACATATGTTCCGAGTCCGCAGCGCAACTGTGTGATCCCGCCGCGTCTGTGTTAGATTGACGCCGCGACGGATCGCGGGCCGTTTTTGGACGGACATACCTCGGCAGGGAAATCGTCGCGACATCGCTGAAACTCAGCGATGTCGCCGTCGCTAAGTCCGACCCAGCAATGAGCGAATCGCTCGGATAGCTTCTTGTTTGTTATGAAGTTTTGTATTTTTTTGCCAATGCAAATTTCATTTAGGAGTATTCCATCTCACACAAACGCTTCCTCTCTGCATGGGAGAAGGATGGTCATCGAACATTCCATACTATTAGTCCTTGAAAACAACACATCGAGTTATATAGTATAGAATGTTTCCCACATGTCGCCCCACCCTCTCCGTTAGCATTTACTGTTCTCGCAGTGTATTAATCTTTTCCTGTTCTTGTTTACTGATTACAAGTAGCGACCGAATCTCAAATGTTCCTACTATAATTTCCGAAGTGGATAGAATAGATGTGCAATCTCGTTCGCTGAGACATATATCGTTCATCGTCTGACTAAGAAGCACGAGCATGCTTTGCGTACGTCCCGTTTATGAGTTGCTAGTGCGTTTTAACTCGATTTGATAAGTCACTATGGGAATTCGTGTATAAACATGATCGAACTTGCGTTGTTTTGCGAGCTTGAACATGCCACCAAGAACCTTACTCGTAAACTTGTTGATTAAACGTACGCAAAGCTTGCTGGTGTCTTTTAGTGAGAGAATGAATTGAATGATTTGAATAAGGGTTCGCAGATTGACATACAAGAGCTCGCCCAGCACTCGCTGTTAAAATAGCCTACTCAGAGTTTCTACAAAGACAAAAGAATGATTTTACAACAAAGCTAACCTATATGCCTACCAGTTACTGAAAGAGAACTCAAAATTTCAAGAACTAGTCGTCGTCGCAGAGGTAACTACTAAACTTGCGCCAGTAGACATTGGTAAATACTGGGATGTGTGTAAATCCACATCCTTTCTTGTTTGATGTAATGTTCTCTTAAGGCATATGGCGCCACATTCTGCTCGAAACCTCTCGAATAAATGCACTTCAGAGAATTTAGCGCAAGTTTTCCAAAACTGCGTATAATGCGGTGTGGTGTGTGAGCGTTCACAAAATCGCTACGGGTATGCCCAAGAGTCGAGCGATGGGCGATTTTGACGCAATGAACTGTCGTCCAGGCAGTCTGGTCGCAGCGATCGAAAATCGTGACGAATGGATCGCTGGAGGTATGCCTTAGGCCTTAACCACCATCAAATAAAGCATGAAAAAGTCTTTTTACAGTATGCTGTTTTGGTTTTGAAGAGGAAAGCTTGACGAGGAAAGCAAGCAAAGCAGAGCCTGGAAGCGCTCATTACCTTTGCATTAACCTAATATCTATTAACCAAAAAATGCAGATTTCAGCCATGTAAGCATTAATATCAACATCTATTGCGCGCGAAGGGCGCCTATTACAATCAGGATGTAGAAAAAAGGACTGAGCACATGACCGATTCCTAATATCATTGCTATTGAAAATATGAATATTAGTTAGTCAACGATTAGTCGTGTTGGGAAATTATCACAACCGAAATGCAAGACGATCAACATGCAATCAACTCGTAACACTTGTCTTGTCGCAAGCGACGATGAAATCGCGTGAACTCTGCCCGAGGCTTGAAGATGGTGGTGGTGAACTCAAACAAGTAAAGCAAAACATAAGTCGAAGTCAGTAATAAGGAACTGAGAATCTGCCTGAGAATAACGCGACATGCGTGGTTCAATCTCGAGACTAGGCAAATAGCGCTAACAGAATCAATCATGTATCTCCGCACAAAATGTCACAGGTGATAATAGTGCAGGGCCTGCCACCAGCAAAGGCATCACTCAAAACGAAAGCGAAAGCAGGCACTTAAAGTTGTTGAAAAGTTACTTTCGGTAGCAACGTTTAGATATCAACAATGTTTAGTGCTTGCAGAACGTCTAATGAGGTTTTTTTGCAAAATTCCAAATTTCTGCAGGAAATCAAAGATTGATCCATCTTAGTGTACGACACACAAATGAGTTAAAGGCATTAGAAATGATCTTGGTCCCCCAACAAAGCCCTCCTGTTCGATTACCATAGGGCCAAAAAACCCAGTCTTTGCTTGGTTAGTCAGTGAGCTGGTTTTAGCCACTGAGTTATATTCACACTTAGCTCATGCTAGCTGCCGCGTTTCATAAGGTTGCTTTTGTCTGACATCCATACTCTACTTTGGACATACTAATTTTACATAGTAAACTAGATTTATTCCACTCATTTTTCTTACATTTTCGTCGAATTTGTCGGCAGTGA